ACGTAAAAATTGTACCGTTGGTACCTACTACGCGTTTCGTAAACGTGTTCGTACCGAGTTTTGTTTAAATAACGCATTTTTCATATGCTAAACATAAGCGAAACTTTTTCCAATCATTCCAACGTGGATTAAAACGTGATAAGTCACATTTTTCAAATTCGAATATAGTAAAAAAAAATTTTTTTATAACGACTCGTAAGGTTTTTTGTTTCGTGCAACAGGTTTCGAAACTTTACGAATTTTTTCTTCCTAAATAAAAAAGGTTTTGAAAAATGTCGCGGCAAAATGTCGAATCGTTTTTTTTTAACTCTTGAAATTTTTATTTAAAAAAAAAAAAAATCATTATTATTATTATTATTTTGATTGTAAAATATTAATATTAATAAAAAAAACATTATTCGGTTTCAGAATTGAAGGCGTGGTAGCAGATATGAGCGCCGTCGACTCGAGTTTAGTCGGTTGGTTGACTCCGACTCGAGAGCTGTGTTACGTCTGAGAAAGTAGTAGTACATTGTTCATTTTTTAAAACAGTTTTTTTTTTTTTTTTTTTTTGATTAAATTTATATTTAAAACAAAATGTCGAAATACAATGTGGATAACGGTTTGTTAATGGATAGAAAAGATCGTATGGCGGCAAAACAAAGCAAATTACGTTTTCTATATAATCCCGATGAAAAAACAGTTTTGGGACGTACCGCTAAAAGTTGGGGTAAGTTATTTTATTTAATTTATTTGTGTGAGTGCGCGTGTGCGCGTGCGCGTGCGTGTGTTATGTGAACCTGTTTTACACGTAATTCAGGCTTTTGTTTTGGAACACGCCTTTTTTAACGTAGAGTCACCATTACACACACAAACATAAAATGCATATATTTTTTTTTTCTCTCTCTCTTTTCGATTCGTTTTTTTAAAAAAAAAAAAAAAAAATACAAAATGACCGAAATAGGTTCGAGTAGGAGAGGAAGAGACCCGGGGGAGGGGAGGGGGGAAACCATAACATAAATCTGTTCGTGTGTTGTTGTTGTGTGTGTGTGTGTGATTAATGCCAAATTGAAAAAAGTTTCTTCTTATATCATTATTTGAACGGTGTCCAAAATCATTGTCATTGACATGCTATATAAAAATATCCTGGCTAAATAGTACAAAAAAATTTCTTTTTTTTTTTTTATTTATATCTAAGGGGGTCCCATTTTATATCTAGAATTCCGATTTTTTTTTTTAAAAAAAAAAATCCGGTTAAATGAGTTTACAAATTTTTTTAGTTAGGTTATTTATTTATTTATTTATTTATTTATTTACACGATAGGTTTTGGCGGTTAATGAGAGTATGATTGTAAAAAAAAAAAAAAAATTTTTTTTTCGTACGATTTGTTGTATTGTTTGATGACAAGTGACAGTTTTTTTTTCTTTCCTTTTCTTTTCTCTCGTTTTTATTTAAAAAAAAAAAA